ATCATCTGACGCATGTGCAGGTGACAACCCTCCCGATTTAGGTATAAACAAAATAACTTCTAATTTTTGTAAGACGTGAATCGCTAGATGGCGCACTCACCTCTATTTCTTGATATGAATTACTCATCATAGCAATGAGCATGTTAAGCAATACGATAACCATGATGGCGTTGTAAATAGCGAACAGCAAAGTACCAATAAACTCGGTTAAATCATGATCCAATGATTCATCGATGACCGGGTCGTACCTGGATGCCATGCCAAATAGCGCCCAAAATAGTGTCATCACAGCGCTACCGAAGCTGAGGACAAATAACACATACATTATTTTTATTGATCTCACGAGAACTAACAGCCGGATAATCGTGTTGATATGTCCATACCACGTGACTCTCAATGTCACCTCTATGTCTAGTAGTTGCGACGCAATTTTTAGTAAGCGCTCGCCATCAGAAACTCCGGTGGGAGGCGGAGCTACTCCTTGAACTATAAATTTTACCCTCTACCTAGTTTTGCGCGACATTTTTTTGCAAAATGATGTTGCTGATACTCTTTGAAATATGTGAAAATTTGTTATTAGAAATATTTATAATTCCCCCCCCCCAAATTATCTCTGTGCAGATAACTGTTGTTGTCGAACTCCACCATTTGATTCATGTGAGTGAGGGCATGAAGACTCTTTTTACCTCCATGGTTTGGGATACTACAGGCTCATCAATGAGATCACCGCGGACTACCACGGCCATAAAACTTCCCGCGTGCATTACATCACGTATATCACAGTAAGCACGCCCTCTACGAACGTTCCAGAATACATAATTTATACTTACGTATCAAACTTATCCTGGTTACTACTGGGAATGTTGGCATACGCCCAGTAGAGATTGTACAGTGCACAGAAAAAGGCTAAAAATACCACAACGAAGAGAACTAAAAAACGGACTATGTCGTACACCATTCTGCCCAGTGATATCTGGAGTGGACCAAGCAATTCGCTGGCAGGAAGGACGTACGCCATCCTGGTAAAACTTAGTACATTGGCTAAGGCGAAGAGACTTTCTGATAGAAGTATTGGGTCCCATGTGTACCAGTATATACGTTCTATCAACAAAACACATTTTGAAATGTATTAGTTCAATGAAATTAATAACTATGCAAATTCTGATGTTATTTGAATTAATAGTGCGCAACATTTATTCAAATCACCATCTTCGCTAGCGAAGGTCTAAGTTTATTCGGCCAAGTCTCTAAACAGACCTTGGCAGAATGACCATCAAATATGCGTATTCTAACAGCGCCTCCAGTAGTCAGTTGCGGCTAATCATTGTCCGATCAGTCTCTCAGTTTGCGTGTTACAAATCCCTTTTTGGCGTTTCATTTTAAACTAAATGGCGGCGCCCATGAATCGTGATATTTGTGATGATAAAATTGTGAAAGTTTTCGGTGTTGGTGCCCTCAAGCCTCATCATGTACAGGCAATCGACGCAGTTTTGTGTGGGAAGGGTGTCTTCATAGCGACAAAAACAGGAATTTTGTTTTATAATTTTGGTACGTCCAAGCTGATTGGGCGCCTTGTTTCGAGGCGCGCCCAATCAGATCTCACTGCTTAAGATATGCAATTAGCCTATGCGATCCCGCACGGTATCGTGTAGAGGTCTATAGATCAAAGACACGGGACAGTGCGATTCGGACGATGTCAAATCACATGCGCAAACATTTGATTTCATCAAAATTTTTCAGAATAGTGTGTCAGGGAGTGATTAGGTCAACCTTTTTCACCGCCAGTTCCCTCTTTTTATAACAATTTACACCATATTTATACACCCTAGCCCGCGACGCACATATTTTATGAACTTACCGTGATTGTAATAGTATAAATGACGCCTGGCGGTTGAAGTATTCCATGGCACGTCTTCCACGGAACCTATGTTTTTGAAATAGTCAATAGCTTCGCTTGTTTTGCCGTATGAAATGTTACGAACGGCGAATGACGCTATGTACAGATTCAACATTCCCACATCAAGTAAATTCCAGAAACTCGAAAAATATTGACAGAATCCTTCTTCCCATATCTGTTTCATCTCACCCCAGAGTATACCTGGAATATTGAAATACGTATTGTTAATGGAATCCGCCATATTGGATTATGCTTAAACGAGCCCATTACGTTTGGATAAGTTGATTACAGCGTATTGGATTATGCTAAAACGTACCTATTACGTTTAGATACGTTGAATCCGTCATATTGGATTATGCATAAACGTACCTATTACGTTTGGATACGTTGCTTACACCATATTGGATTATGCTAACACGTACATATTACGTTTAGATACGTTGAATCCGTCATATTGGATTATGCATAAACGTACCTATTACGTTTGAATACGTTGATTACACCGTATTGGATTATGCTAAAACGTATATATTACGTTTAGATACATTGAATTCGCCATATTGGATTATGCACAAACGTACCCATTACGTTTGGATACGTTGTTTACACCGTATTGAATTATGCTAACACGTACATATTACGTTTAGATACGTTGAATCCGTCATATTGGATTATGCATAAACGTACCTATTACGTTTGAATACGTTGATTACACCGTATTGGATTATGCTGAAACGTATACTAGTATATTACGCTTAAATACGTTGAATTCGCCATATTGGATTATGCATAAACGTACCTATTACTTTTAAATACGTTGAATCCGCAATTATATTGGATTATGCTAAAACGTATTCATTACGATTAGATACGTTGGATCTGCCAAATTTCAAATTAATAACACTGATCCACGTTACTATTATCATCGACATAAATACCATCTCGTTAAACAATTACGTTCGTCATTAAACAATCGCACATTAACGTAATCACGCACCAAGACTAAATAGTACGATTTGGAATTGCAAACACTTTTCAAACCGCCATCCAGCCTCACATATGCATCATGTAGGAGACACTAAATATTTTACTGCAATAAATTTTACTGTTTTTTTTTTTTTTTTTTTTTTGCTCAATATGTGTTTTCTTTTATATTAAAATACTCGTAATTTTTTGACAGACTTTTATATTACGCGATGCACATAGGGCTCAATTTAGGAGAATATGCGCATGATAAGAGTCTATATCAATACTAACATAAATAAATAATGTACTATTTCAGTTCATGTGTGAATATTATAAGGTTATTACTAAGATACCTCAAAGTATGCACGAAGACAGTACAGCGGCAGTATCGACCGACGCGCAACGGAGATCGATTTGACAGCGTACTGTCTGAGTGCATACTTTGATGTATCTTCGTAATAACCTTAATATTATACATCTTTCCTACCAAGGATACATCATGGGAAAGCCAAAATCTAAAAAGTTTGTATGGAGTCCGGTCAAACCCTGGTGGCAGCCATGTTTGTTTTATTATTAGAGGACGCTTACGTGCGTAATCATTCCATATTTGGAATTCGCATTTCCTAATATGGTAGGATGAAAATGCCCCGTAAAATCCCGAAAATTACGGCACGCTGTAATTTATGGCGTTACGGTGACAGATGTATAATAAAGATTGTTACTAGTATTTTAATTGACTTTTTTTATCACGACGACAAAAAATATAATGGTTATTTAATGCACATAGTAACAGTAGTTTTCATCAAACAAATAGTATTTTTTTATATTTTAACTTTACGATAAATCATCACCCCGTCACTTCAGAAGATAAATAATCCACACTGAATTGATACATCACAGTTTCCTGTAGATAAACTGCTATTACACATTATTGCGTTTCTAATGCGTTTATTGATTATTTTCCAAAGTCCTTGAATCATGTCGTGTTTAACTTACACGCAACCAAAGCAAATGTGTTCTGAATATAGCACATTAATTTTATCATTATTATTATTATTATTATTATTATTATTATTATTATTATTATTATTATTATTATTATTATTATTATTATTATTATTATTATTAAAATAACACACATGCACACAAAAGCATAACAAATCGTTATTTCGGTCGGGAAACGGCTTGCAAATACGTAAGTGACTACGTCAGAGTTTCAGTGAATTGTGTTTCCCATGTCTGGAAACGTCATCAAATTTGTGAACCAACTAATGAGGAACGCTACAAGTTGTGACGTAAACTAACACAACACTACAAGTTGTGACGTAAACTTACACAACGCAACAAGTTGTGACGCAAACTAACACAACGCTACAAGCTGTGACGTAAACTAACACAGCGCTACAAGTTGTGACGTAAACTAACACAACGCTACAAGTTGTGACGTAAATTAACACAACGCTACAATTTGTGAAGTAAACTAACACAACATCACGCGTTCCCGTACGTAGTCAATTGCGTACTATAGGTCGGGGTTCAGTTGTTTACCGAAATACTACAGAGTTCTATAATAATCCGCTGTTTGATCTAAAACAGTGTTTGGATTTTAAATGGTGGCACTAAATACCACAACCAACAGTAAAAAAGCTCAAACATTTCATACCACGATACACCAAAGTACTAAATCTCTTACCCACAATCCACAGCAGTAATATAATCTCCAGTGCTGTCATTGCGTTTTGTCGAACTTTACCGCCGAATAACCATTCCAAATCAGGCTCCAGATGATAATATTGTGTTAGTAACGACTGTAGGAATAATAGGATCAGGAACATAATATGGGAAGATGCCTGAGTAAAAAACTTCACCATAGGACTCGCGATAATTTCTCCAATCTGAAAATAATAATAAATAGAGCAACCAATTATGACAGACAGATGCGCCAGGTTTCAATAATATCCTTATCAACACTG